TGATCGTCGAGTAGAGGATGTCTTAGTAAGTCCTCATGATCCGGGAACCTGGCATGAGGGTAGCTTCTAAGGTGTCTTCCTATTGCTCCGGTGATCACCATGCCCCGAACCTCGAATTGACCCGAACACCTCCAACGGTGGTGCTACTTACCTCTCAATGGTGGGATGGCACTACTTTAAAGGACATTTACACAGACGAATTCCTTAGGGTAGGTAGACGACTCTAGATACTTGCTCTAACTTCAAGACAAATCAAAAATACTTTTCACACCGACACCTTTTCAAAAGCTTTCGAAAGCAATTTTTCAAACACTCTTGAGGACCGATACAAGAGTCGAACTGGAATTTTCAAAGAAACTTTTTTAAAACCCACAGTTGAAAAGTAAACAAACCATTTTTGAAAACACAATGAGCAAGTATCTAAGAGCCCATGGATAACCATGGATAGAAAGGGTGCTAACACCTTCCCTTTCTATAATCTACCTCCCGAACCGAGAGCAATCTCTATAAGGAATTTTTCTGTGCTTTTGTCCTTTCCATTTGGAGAAAATAAAAGACGGTGGCGACTCTTGCTTCTGCGACATTTCGCGAACCAGCGTTAAACAGTCAGTTCCAGATCCACCGATCACAAACTCCTCTGCTCACAGAGAATATTTGATGAGGGTATTGGACCAAGCTTTTGGGGAAAGTGATATTCCTGTAGACTAATTCAGCAGTGTGGTAGGGAGCATTACATCATGTAATAACCTGAGTTTCTACGACGATGAACTGCCCGATGAAGGAAGGAATCATAATATGGCCCTCCACATCTCTATAAACTGCAAGAATGATTCATTATCCAATGTGCTGATTGATAATGGATTTGCATTGAACGTTATACCAAGGAGCACACTTATGAAGTTGAAATATCAAGGAACGCCCATGCGCCCAAGTGGCATTATTGTGAAAGCGTTTGATGGATCAAGGAAATCTGTTATTGGTGAAGTGGACTTGCCTATTCATATAGGCCCACATTAGTTTCAGATTACTTTCCAGGTCATGGATATTATACCCACTTATAGATGTTTGTTGGGACGACTGTGGATACATGAGACAGGGGCTGTCACTTCGACTTTACACCAAAAGTTGAAGTTTGTGCATGAAGTAAAAGTGGTAATTATAAATGGAGAACATGCATTATTGATATCTCATTTGTCCTCTTTCAGCATTGTGGAGGCAAATGAAGTTGTTGTTGTAACCCAATTACAAGCTTTATCCATTAATAATATAAGAGGAAATGTGAATTCTAGGTCTTCGTTTAAGGATGCTTAGCAGGTTGTGCGTAATGTCTATAATGAAGTAAGGGGACAAATTGTTGATCCACCTGTAAACAAGAATAGAGCTGGCTTGAGGTTCTCTGTGAAGAATGATAAAGGTAAGAGCATGAAGCCGAAGTCTTCTGCAGGAAAGTATCAAAACATCTTTCGTAGCGGGGGTTATCTTCATCCATTTGTTTCTGGGATTAATGCCATTATGGAAGATGAAGTAGAGCCAGAAATGCCAAATTATGTGACACATGGAGTTAGGGTTCAGAACTGGATCACCATTGATGTTCCATCTTGCATACATTTTTCAAAGTAATTTGTTTTTGTTTATCTTTTTGAAAATCTTTCACTCTGCCCAAGGTGAAAGTATTAACATTGTATGGGCTTATCTGTTGCTTTGATATTTTAAAATCAATAATAAAAGTTGTCTTTGTTTCCCAAATTATGTTTTTCTTTTTTTTTCTTTTTTCTTGGAAAATGGTAATCAGAAAAAACCTTTCAAAATAAATAATAATTGAAATTCAATCTGCATGATTGCTTGTTATATGTGTCAGTTTCTAAAAGCAATCATAAATCATATGTGCAGATTAATTAAAAAACCTGTTGAATACAATGACCCTACACCCTCTCCCAACTTTAAATATCCTGTGTATGGGGCCGAAGAAGAAGACTATGATGAGATTCCGGAAGAGGTCTCGCGGTTGGTTGAGTGTGAGGGGAATTCCATTCAGCCATATAAAGAGCCATTGGAAGTAATCAATTTGGGTTCAGGAGAAGATCCGAAGGAAGTCAAGATTGGAGCATTACTGCATCCTGATATGAAGAGCAGGTTGATTGAGATGTTGAAATAGTATGTGGATATTTTTGCTTGGTCTTACCAAGATATGCCTGGTCTAGATACAAATATTGTAGAGCACCATTTGTTGTTGAAGCCAGAGTGTCCGCCAATCAAACAGAAGTTACAAAGAAGTCACCCAGATATGGTAATGAAGATCAAAGAAGAAGTTCTAAAGCAGATTAATGTCGGTTTTCTTATGACATCAGTGTACCCTCAGTGGATTGCCAATATTGTCCCAGTAACCAAGAAATATAGAAAAGTTTGCATGTGCGTATATTATAGAGATCTAAATAAAGCTAGTCAAAAAGATGATTTTCCATTGCCACACATTAATATGTTAGTGGATAGCACAACAAAATTCAAAGTTTTCTCGTTCATGGATGGATTTTCCGGGTATAATCAAATAAGGATGGCTACTGAGGACATGGAAAAAACAACGTTTATCACACCCTGGGGAATATTTTGTTACAGAGCTGTAGCGGTGAAAATCGGAGATCAAGCTATTAATTAACTTGACTCAAAAAAAGCAAGAGTCGCCATCGCGCTTTATTATTTCCAAGGGAAAAGGGAAAAGAGCGAAATAAAACCCTAAAGTATGCAATGTAAAATAATACTTTTAAAAGTAATAAAAATACAATGCATTTTTGAAAGAGATCAAGAGTTTGGGGGTTGGTTATACAATGGGAAGGTATTAGCACCCAATGCATCTGCGGTACTCTGCAGGAACCTTTTGAAATATCTATTTTTTTTGGTTAAAATTGTTTGTTTGATTAAAATGGTTCGTTTGGCTAAAAATCGGTGTTGGAGAGATTTTGAAGATGTGATAACCTAATGTTGAAGTTTTGACTTAAAAAAAAGGGGTGTGAGTTTAAAAAATGATTTGTAAGAGATTCGTCTTAAGATTAACAAAATTAAAAAAAATATGAAGGATTTCGCACAATCGTATCAAATATATTTGATGACATGAAGTCAACGAAGTTAAAACATTTCCCTTGGATTTAAAACCACAGACAGATAAATAAGCTAAGAGTATACCAAACCTTAGGTGAAAATAAATCACTAGCCGACAGCATCAAAAAACCAGATGTAAGATATTACTCCGAGCAGCGAATAAAAATAGTGCAACACGTGAAAATAAATCACAGACGAGGAACACGTGGATAAAGCTCACGGTACCAGATAAGGCTCGAGATATTGAATAAAGCTCACGGTATAAGATTCCCTGCATCACATGAAATATACAGACAAAACTAACAGCATGAAAAAAATTATATGCGTCCGTGCAATTTTTAGAAGTTAGTTGGAATTTTAAAAAAATAAAATCGCAATGCGATGAAAATAATATTTACATAACCTGAATTTATTTACAAATTAAGTGAATAAAATATATAGACAAAATATTATGAACAAGTATATATTTACAATACCAAATATTAAATAAAAATAATGAAATACAGTAAAGAGGTAAAGGGAGAAAGAAAAAGTGAAAATGCCCTATGTGAGTATGAATACTTGAAATGAATTCTCGGAAACCTTCACAATAACAAACACGTTAGTAGCATAAGCGGTATAAAAATGAAAATGAAATGAAATTGCAATGATTAAAACATGTGTCAGTAAGTATAAAATAACAAATGAAATTGTATGATGCATACGAATAGATGAATATTTACACAAATTAAAATCAAGAATTCATGATATTGCTCAATGTAAACACAAAAAATCAGCATTACACACATTATTTGAAATGTATCAAAAGCAACTGCTATTTCAAACACAACGAAAAACAAAAATCCAAAGTTCACTTTGCAACATGAGAAATTGAATTCAAAGCATGAACCAAACAAATGATGATTATCCAACAATTTAAATTCACAAACAAAGCCAAAGAAACTCATGCCATAATTCAATTCAATCCATGAAAAATCAAACATTATCAAACATCATCAAAAGTTAGACAACAACAAATTATGCATAAAAGCTCATGAAATTCAATTTCCAAGTGATTCTAAACATATGTACAAACACCAATATTAAACCAACAAACCTTGTAAATTGATTTCAACTCGAAACGTAATCAAAACCATTCTTTAAAATCACTTAAAACAGCATGATAACATCAACACCGACAATTCAAAATTATGCCAAAATTACATTAAGCTCAAAAAGTGATGAAAATAAGTTTTGAATCAATGATTCGGCGAGGTATAAATTCCGACAGCAACCAACACAAATTGTTAACACTCGATAAAAACACCTCAAAAGGATTCAAAACTCATAAGAAAATCAGGTGATGCACCAACCAGTTTACACTTATCATTAGACTTGACATAAACAAATTAATTACAATTTCAATAAAACAATAACATATTTACAGACTCAAATGATTTCGAAATACAAATTAGTACAAACTTATGAAGTTTCCAATTGAACCGTTAAGACATAAATCATGACAAACCTCAAGTGCATTAAATCAGAACTTCATGAATGAACAAATTCAGTTATGCTTAAATGACTTGGAGATTTTAACAGATTATTCACAAATCAACATAACATATTTACTAATAACAATCTATTAACAAGTTGTTCATAACAAAAATCCAAGAACAAGTCAGACAAAAAAACAGACATGATGCTTTTACTAGATTCAATCCTCATTCCAAATAACCAGATCAAGCATTAACACTAACCTGTCGAACACAACAGTAGAGTTGTAGTGGCGTTGGATATTTTATGCCAAAGCTTGGAGGATCAAATCGGACTGTGACGCGGAGTAGAGATTAAACCGCAAACGCGAGGATCTACTATTTCGGAAGAAACAATGCTTGTAGTGGTTTACTGCTAACAAAGGCGGAAGGATGGAGAAGGTGGATTGTAAATTGATGATGAATGTGTGCTGCGGTATTGAACGGAACAAGGGCGGAGTGAATCACGGATTAGTGATTGTGGATGGTAATAGTGAGGCGACGGGAAGAAGGCAGTGGTCTTGTTACGGTGAGGATGGTTGGGAACAGTGGAATGGGTTTGTGATGAAAGGTGAACAGAGGCAGAGGGAATTGGACAGGGTGAGGTTACGGTGAGGATGGTTGGGAGCGGTGGAATGGGTTTAGACGGAGGGGAGTATTGAGATGGAGGGATGCAGCGGCGATCTGAAATTGGAATGGAGGATAACAGATCAGAGGTAGTGGTGTTGCGTGTGATAGAGGCGATGATGATGGATACCGTGACAGAGAAGGGCGTTGTTATAGTGAGTTACTGTTGGAAACTGCAAAATGGATGGAAGTTAGGTGAGGCGGATGTGATGTGAGGCTCACGGACTAAGGGAGTACTCGGTGAGGTAGCTAAAGGTTGTAGGTTTACGGATGAACAGGGGCGTGGAGCATGGGAAGTTGGAGAGAGGGAGTATTGGTTTTGGTAACAGAAATTGGGACGGAAAGCAGGTTCGTTGGTGTTGTTGTTAAGGAGAAAGAAGGAGATGTTAATGATGGTGGGGTAATCAAAGGAAGCGGAAGGAGATGTTTGGGTGAAGGTGTTTGTGGCTTTGGGGATGGGTTTGGAGTGGAGTGAAGCGGTTGTGTGTTGTAGAGACGCCATTGTTGGCGTGGGTAGAGGAAGAAGGGTGAGATAAGAAAGTAGTGTGGTTAGTGAAATGAAATGAAGGTGTTTTGTTTGTGTTGTGATTGGTGGGAAGAAGAGAATGAGATGCTGATAGGATTGAGTTGAGAGGAGCACGATTGCCTCTTATCTCACGGATAAAATAATGGCAATCGAATATGTGGACGTATTTGGGAGTGAAGAGAGATAATTGGAAATTTGTTTTGGCAATTTTGTATCGATCCTCAATTTCATCCAACAACCAATAGGAATAGAGTATAGTGTAGATAATATATTTTGTGATCAAATAGTCCTTAAATGATAAAATAACCAAAAAACTAAATGTATTAAAATTAACTCAATTAAAAATGATTTTTTTTGAATATTTTATGAATAAAAAATAAAGACCCAAAATGACCGAAAATGATAAAAAACAGACGAAAATTTATCCGAAAAAAATAAAATGAACACATTAAAATAATCTACATGTCACAAAGATTAAAGAAAAAAATATTCAAGAAGTCTAAAAATCAAAAATAAAATAATAATAAAAATATCAGACTAAACAGACGTTTAAGGTTAAAAACGAGACTTCGAACTGTACCGAAAAAATAAAGCGAGCATACCGTCATAATCTACGCGAAGCGCAGATTCATAAAATGATCGGTAAAAGGTGAAAACTTGAAATATTTTCCCGCTACTTTCCCGCATAGTGTCGAATCGCTTTTAACAGTCTGTCTATAAAACCGAAATATTTTATTATCGACATATAAACAATTTGGAGCAGTGCAAGAAAATAGTAAACAGATAAAAATGAATGAAATGAAATGTCAGGTATTTTACAACTGAAAGACGATGCAAACTTTGATTTAAACTGACTTTTTCTGGTCAACTTAAATACGACTAATGATGCAAAATGTGATGAATGAAGGTATTTACTAATGATTGTGACCAAATAACAAAATATGATATGAAAGTGCGACTAAAACATATTAGGGGAAAACTTTAGGGTGCAACAGTTGTGCCTTGATGAATCAGTCTTCGAGAATCCACAATCAACCGTACTTATGGCTTGGGAGGCTAAAAACCTTAATTGAGGCGCGACACCTGATGCTCTTGATTCAGACCTGTCTCTGCACATGAAACAAAAGAAAACATGAACATACACCTTTGTATGCGATTAGAAATTAGTGATACATAGGCTCAAAATGTTCAAAACACTTGACAATCTTCGCATAGTCAATGCTTGAAAGTGAGAGGTTAAAACCGACTGTATTTCGTGACCTTGACTTATCTTAAAAAATACAAAAATAAAAATGGGATCTTAGGTCAAAAATTGGGGTACAACAGCTGCCCCTATTTAAGTTTCTTCTGTCTGGAGATATGAAGATTGTGATCTTCATTTCGACGAGATTGAAGGGACTTAAATATAGAATACACAATTTTTGGCCTTAAGATACCGCGATTATGTTCATGATATGATATGAATGTAATGCTCTAAATTTTATGGGGAATGACGCCATACGAGACAGACTATGCTGGAGAAACCAAGCACATTACACAGTAATCCTACAGAGGAAGAGGTTGTAACTCCACTGGGGAAACAAAGTCATAGACTTCAAATGAGAGACTCTTGAATGATTTTCATCAATGTTGATACTGGAAAAAGAAATGATTTACATCAGTACTGAGACTGGAAAAGCATATGATTGACATCAGTACTGTGACTGGAAAAGGAAATGATGGACATCAGTACTGAGACTGGAAAATGATTGACATCAGCACTGTGGCTGGGAAAGAAATGATTTACATCAGCATTGTGGCTGGAAAACAAAATGATTGACATCAGTAATGAGACTGGAAAATGATTGACATCAGCACTGTGGCTGGAGATAAACATCTCTGATTTCTGAATTTTACCAAGAACGGTAACACATTTCTTCTTTAACCAAGATATCGCTTGAAAAGGATAAAATAACAAACTTCCCCACGGGACTTTTTCGAAGGGGATGCCATTTGCTGAGTAGACATTATTGTTGGGGATACACAAGCTGCTCAAATAAAGAGGCCGCCACTTGCTTCCTTTCAAAAGTGTCAATAACATACAAGCTGCTCATGAAGAGACCACCACTTGTTGTCTTCAAAGAATATTAAAGCACACAAGTTGCTCATGAAGAGTCTGCCACTTGTTGCCAAAAACCCACAAGCTGCTCATAAAGAAGCTGCCACTTGCTGTCTTCAAAGAATATCAAAGCACACAAGCTGCTCATGAAGAGTCTGCCACTTGTTGCCAATAACCCACAAGCTTCTCATAAAGAAGCTGCCACTTGCCGTCTTCGAAGAATAATAACGTACAAGCTGCCCATGAAGAGACTGCCACTTGCCGTTTTCTATAGAATAATAACGTACAAGCTGCCCATGAAGAGACTGCCACTTGCCGTTTTCTGTACAAGCTGCTCATGAAGAGACCACCACTTGCTGTTTTTTCAAAGGTATTAAAGTACACAAGCTGCTCATGAAGAGTCTGTCACTTGTTACTTTCAAAGATATAAATAACACACCATGAAGATATTGCTGGAGGTGAGAATCAATAATTTCATCGAGGATGGACAAACTGCTCATGAAGAGACCGCCATTTGTCGTAGAGAAATCAGAAATAATCAAACTGCTCAAATAAAGAGTCAGTCGCTTGTTGTCATGTCGATATTCCAGAAGAAGGTTGTGATAACACTGCTGGGGAATAAAGTTCATCTTCAACGGGGAACCATGAGTAAATCCTTCTTGAGAAGACCAAGTATTTACATTGCAAAATAACTGCACTTTCCATCTAGGTTTCAGAGCCTAGAGATATTCACAGGGTATCGTTCACAAGAGACAAAGCTCAATCCAGGAATAAACTGGAGAGAAAATAGTCAAACAAGACTCCACCCAATGAGGAAACAACTCAAATGGGGATTTATCCTATCCAGAGATGGAAAAGGAAAGCTAAAGCAAGGTTCTTCCACGAGAGTTAACTCAGTGGGGAATTAGAAAAGAGGCGCACTTTCTGCTTAAGTTGACACTCTATTTGGAAAGATCAAATATGCTATTTGAATTGACATAACCAAGGTATACGAACCCAAAGACATCAACAAATACAAATGTGCATGCATGATGCAAGTATGAATAAATAAATGAATGTCATGTATATGCTGACAAAATAAATAGAGAAGATAGACACAAGATGATAAGACATCCCAGTACAACCCGACACTCGGCTAATCTCAACAAGATGGGAACATTACTGGAGATAGAACACAAGCCATCATTGGAGTAAAGTCCTTTTACAAGGCTTAAATCTCTCTGGAGAGGAAAGTATTTTCAGTAGAAAACCCAAAGTCCAGTCTTCTATCGCATACAATCCATTGAAAGGATAACAACACAAACACTGTTTCAGCTGGAAAAAAGTCATGCTTAGCTGGAGATACTGGGAACACCACCCTCTGATAATGTGTGCAAAACATATCACATATCTTAACAAATCTGGATTGCCCCTGGGACTAATTTTGGATGCCCCAAGTTTACTGCTGATAAGTTGCGTGATGCATGACAATTCTTGCGAATAACTTAACTTTTAAAATGCCCCAAGCTATATGGTTGATGAGGAGAAATCGTCTCAAGAGGATTTTACAAAAGACCTGGCATTCACCATGCTCTGGTGTCTTCAAACTCTTAAAGAGATTCATCAAATCTCGACGTGATTGGCCCGAATTGACTGTAGTTGGCACATCAAAGTCTTCAAATTTTTCCCCAAAAGAGTAAACAAGTTGGGAAAGCATTAACTAGGAGAAGCAACATGTTCGTGCTTAAGGTCTTCATGTGACATGCCCATGGATATGATTTTTTCTTGATGTGATCCGCCAATTACTCAACATAGTTTCAGGCCTTAAAAGAATAAACTCATCACTGGTGCTTATGTGAGCTTCCTTGATATCAAACAAATGTTTTGCAGTTAGAAAAAGTTTACAATGAGAATGAAAATTCTAATGCAACAGTTATGTAAGTCTTGAAGATTTTGAAAGATATCGCACAAATTTTGCGAGTTAAAGCACCATTTATTTTTGTATAGGAAAAACATATGATACCAACATAACTATTCAGAACATTCTTGGGAGTCAGGAACACTATCTCATTGAAGTATGCTTTCAAAATAACCTTGCTTCAATTAGGACTTTTGAAGGTTGTAACATGGTCTGGTTCATGGGTTTTTTAGAAAAAAAGATTTTAAGGCTCAAAATATTTGGTGCCCACCCATTCTTCATGATGTTCTCCAACCCTATGTTCAGTTAATTCAACATGAGTGTTCATCTCTCAAAAGGATTTTGTGACGGTCAAGGAAACGACGAGGCTTTCGGAGTAGAAACCGCCCTCATGTCTTCGTGTTTGTAGTCACCAATTTGTTCTTTGTTGAGGACTTTTCTTTGCAGTCCTTTTCTTTGCAATTTTTATTTTCCCTAACTTTTGCCTGAACTAATTCTTTTGAATTGATAGTCTAGCAGGATTCCTTAATTTTGCCTAAGTCACACGTTTTCATGTTTTTTTTTTGACTTAGCAGGCTTTTCTTTTTCTTGATTTTTTTTACTTTTTGAACAAAATGTGTGACATTAGCTTGTCTTTGCTTGTTGAGAGGATTGTGATTGCCTCGTTTCTTGATGAATGAGGGATAACATTGTGGTTCCACATCCTCTAGATTCATTATACATGAAGGATAGCCCTCGTAGTTTCTCTTCAAAAAAACATCTTCCTTATGAATTTTGAACACTCAGTCAGATTAACTGAAAACTACCCTGCCCTAGGTTAAGATTTGAGGGTTTTTTCGTATAGAAAAGAAACTCCTACTTCAAGGCTCAAAAGGGGTTAACAAGGGATTATCTTCCTTATATCTCCGGTGTTTAGGGATTTGAAACAATGCCTGTACATCATCAGCAAGATTTTATTCAAAAGTAATACAACCAGAGATTTTGTGTTCTTTAGATCATCATCCTCCCTTCAATCTCTGCCTAGGCAAGAGAATGAGCAACAATTTGGTATCATAGTGCAAAAGCAATTTAAAATTTGAAAATAAATATGAGTGAAACGAATGAATTTATTCAAGACAAACATATTCATTGTATTAAGATAATCATTCAGATACAAATAAGTTCTTACATGCAAACAATGTTTTGATAAACAAGAAAAATTAAAAAAAAGCATAAATAAGTTAATAATCTGGGAAGGCTTTCCATCTGGACTTGAATTACCGAAAACATCATTCAAAACTCAAAGTGACCATCAATCATGTTTACTCTTTGGCACATGCTTGATTTGAACTTTAAAACCAACGTCCTTGAATGACAAGATACCACTTCTGACCAACTTATGAACCTTGATCTTCAAAGCAAAGCAACCCTCCAAGTCATGCCCAGGAGCACCTTGATGAAAGGTACATGTCAAATCAGCTTTGTAGTACCAATGTACCTTCTCAGGAACCTTCGGTGGAGGTCGGGTCTGAACCAAATTCCTCTGCATCAGGATAAGGAACAACTCTGTATAGGTGATTGGAATTGGATCAAATTGAGTTTTCCTCTGATTAGGAACTTGCTGATTCTGTTGATAAATGGGAGAAACATGATGATTCTGATGATGATTATTTCTTCCTATGGTTCTCTTCTTGGAAAAGTCATTATCAAACTTCTTCACACCATTAGCTGAGCTACCATCTTCATATAAACATCCCTTTCAGACATCTTCTTCTAGACGCACTCCCACATTCACCTTGTCAGGAAAGTCACTAGGCGCATTAATTATCATCTTCTCATGAATGAATGATTTCAGAGTTTCAGTGAAGACTTTTATCATCGCTTCTTTCCTCTTAGAAGGATTGACTTGGGAGGCAACCAAAATTTCAACCAAACCAGTTAAGTGCTCCATGCTAGCTTTCAAAATAGTCATCTCTCTACGGAGTTCAGAAACCTCTTGCTTGATATTCTCCATTGTTCTCTTAGCGCGAGTGTTGTACTGGTGAGACCAAAGGAAAAATAAGACTCGGAAAAAGACCTTTGAAAGTGAAACAAAAAATGTAGAATGATGCATGATATGCAAAAGAGAGTTTTTATCTGACTTTCAAGGAACTCAAGATATTAAGTTGGAAACATCAAAGTATGAAGATAGAAGATGAATTTTGAATTGGATCAAAGCGTTGATCAAGTTATCATCAAGATCAATCATCCATTTTGGTGGATTAGGGTTTTCACCCTATCAACACCCAAGATCCATTGAGCTTGACGAAACTTGTGATGTTTACAAAGAAAGACCTCCAAATTCCTTGAAAGTCAAGTGAAAATGGTTTTATGGATGCATGAATGCATGGCTATGCAACAACCACAGGCAAGGTCACAAATAAAGTCGAAAGGTTCAACGTCACGAGCATGGAGTCAAAGGTAAAAACATCCCCAAGGTATGTACTAACGGTTTAATCACACCTGCAAGACAAGGTTCTAAGAGTTCCCGGAGTCTACATTCCTCCTTCGGATATTACCAACGTCTTGATTACTCAATAATTAGCAATATTCTCAAGAGAAACTCATCCAAGCGTAGCATCGCGTAACAATTACTTCCGGATTACTCCGTTATAATCTTCGCGCTACACCTAAAAGGCCAAGCAAGGTTAAGGGTTCTACGGCTCTCAGCTTCTTTGGCTCCCAGGTCGAAAATAATAATGTCTTCCCGATTACTCGGTAAACAAATATTACGTTCAAAAGGGCCTTCCACTGAGTGGGGGATCTCATGCCTCCTTCTTCGGGATTACTCCCTCAAAGTTAACATGACTATACCGCCCGTCCTATTCCTAAGTGTAACTTAGTCCGGGTATAGGACTTGTCCTTGGTAAATATTATCAACACCCAAATAATCATAATATATACATATAATCAAACAATCAAATAATGATAAAACAGATAAAACAAATTAGGCTTAACCCACTTAGGGATGGACCAGCAAGAGGTCAATCTTTCCCCAGCAGAGTCGCCAATTCTGTAGCGGTGAAAATCGGAGATCAAGCTATTAATTAACTTGACTCATAAAAAGCAAGAGTCACCACCGCGCTTTATTATTTCCAAGGGAAAAGGGAGAAGAGCGAAATAAAACCCTAAAGTATGCAATGTAAAATAATACTTTTAAAAGTAATAAAAATACAATGCGTTTTTGAAAGAGATCGAGAGTTCGGGGGTTGGTTATACAATTGGAAGGTATTAGCACCCAATGCATCTGCGGTACTCCACAGGAACCTTTTGAAATATCTGTTTTTTTTGGTTAAAATTGTTTGTTTGATTAAAATGGTTCGTTTGGCTAAAAATCGGTGTTGGAGAGATTTTGAAGATGTGATAACCTAATGTTGAAGTTTTGACTTAAAAAAAAAGGGGTGTGAGTTTAAAAAATGATTTGTAAGAGATTCGTCTTAAGATTACCAAAATTAAAAAAAATATGAAGGATTTCGCACAATCGTATCAAATATATTTGATGACATGAAGTCAACGAAGTTAAAACATTTCCCTTGGATTTAAAACCACAGACAGATAAATAAGCTAAGAGTATACCAAACCTTAGGAGAAAATAAATCACTAGCCGACAGCATCAAAAAACCAGATGTAAGATATTACTCCAAGCAACGAATAAAAATAGTGCAACACGTGAAAATAAATCACAGATGAGGAACGCGTGGATAAAGCTCACGGTACCAGATAAGGCTCGAGATATTGAATAAAGCTCACGGTATAAGATTCCCTGCATCACATGAAATATACAGACAAAACTAACAGCATGAAAAAAATTATATGCGTCCGTGCGATTTTTAGAAGTTAGTTGGAATTTTAAAAAAATAAAATCGCAATGCGATGAAAATAATATTTACATAACCTGAATTTATTTACAAATTAAGTGAATAAAATATATAGACAAAATATTATGAACAAGTATATATTTACAATACCAAATATTAAATAAAAATAATGAAATACAGTAAAGAGGTAAAGGGAGAAAGAAAAAGTGAAAATGCCCTATGTGAGTATGAATACTTGAAATGAATTCTCGGAAACCTTCACAATAACAAACACGTTAGTAGCATAAGCAGTATAAAAATGAAAATGAAATGAAATTGCAATGATTAAAACATGTGTCAGTAAGTATAAAATAAAAAATGAAATTGTATGATGCATACGAATAGATGAATATTTACACAAATTAAAATCAAGAATTCATGATATTGCTCAATGTAAACACAAAAAATCAGCATTACACACATTATTTGAAATGTATCAAAAGCAACTGCTATTTCAAACACAACGGAAAACAAAAATCCAAAGTTCACTTTGCAACATGAGAAATTGAATTCAAAGCATGAACCAAACAAATGATGATTATCCAACAATTTAAATTCACAAACAAAGCCAAAGAAACTCATGCCATAATTCAATTCAATCCATGAAAAATCAAACATTATCAAACATCATCAAAAGTTAGACAACAACAAATTATGCATAAAAGCTCATGAAATTCAATTTCCAAGTGATTCTAAACATATGTACAAACACCAATATTAAACCAACAAACCTTGTAAATTGATTTCAACTCGAAACGTAATCAAAACCATTCTTTAAAATCACTTAAAACAGCATGATAACATCAACACCGACAATTCAAAATTATGCCAAAATTACATTAAGCTCAAAAAGTGATGAAAATAAGTTTTGAATCAATGTTTCGGCAAGGTATAAATTCGGACAGCAACCAACACAAATTGTTAACACTCGATAAAAACACCTCAAAAGGATTCAAAACTCATAAGAAAAACAGGTGATGCACCAACCAGTTTAAACTTATCATTAGACTTGACATAAACAAATTAATCACAATTTCAATAAAACAATAACATATTTACAAACTCAAATGATTTCCAAATACAAATTAGTACAAACTTATGAAGTTTCCAATTGAACCGTTAAGACATAAATCATGACAAACCTCAAGTGCATTAAATCAGAACTTCATGAATGAACAAATTCAGTTATGCTTAAATGACTTAGAGATTTTAACAGATTATTCACAAATCAACATAACATATTTACTAATAACAATCTATTAACAAGTTGTTCATAACAAAACTCCAAGAACAAGTCAGACAAAAAAACAGACATGATGCTTTTACTAGATTCAATCCTCATTCCAAATAACCAGATCAAGCATTAACACTAACCTGTCGAGCACAGTAGTAGAGTTGTAGTGGCGTTGGATATTTTATGCCAAATCATGGAGGATCAAATCGGACTGTGACGCGGAGTAGAGATTAAACCGCAGACGCGAGGATCTACTATTTCGGAAGAAACAATGCTTGCAGTGGTTTGCTGCTAACAAAGGCGGAAGGATGGAGAAGGTGGATTGTAAATTGATGATGAATGTGTGTTGCGGTATTGAACGGAACAAGGGCGGAGTGAATCACGGATTAGTGATTGTGGATGGTAATAGTGAGGCGACGGGAAGAAGGCAGTGGTCTTGTTACGGTGAGAATGGTTGGGAACGGTGGAATGGGTTTGTGATGAAAGGTGAACAGAGGCAGAGGGAATTGGACAGGGTGAGGTTACGGTGAGGATGGTTGGGAGCGGTGGAATGGGTTTAGACGGAGGGGAGTATTGAGTTGGAGGGATGCAGCGGCGATCTGAAATTGGAATGGAGGATAACAGATTGGAGGAAGTGGTGTTGCGCGTGACAGAGGCGATGATGATGGATACCGTGACGGAGAAGGGCATTGTTATAGTGAGTTACTGTTGGAAACCGCGGAATGGATGGAAGTTAGGTGAGGCGGATGTGATGTGAGGCTCACGGACTAAGGGAGTACTCGGTGAGGTAGCTAAAGGATGTAGGTTTACGGATGAACAGGGGCGTGGAGCATGGGAAGTTGGAGAGAGGGAGTATTGGTTTTGGTAACAGAAATTGGGACGGACAGCAGGTTCGTTGGTGTTGTTGTTAAGGAGAAAGAATGAGATGTTAATGATGGTGGGGTAATCAAAGGAAGCGGAAGGAGATGTTTGGGTGAAGGTGTTTGTGGATTTGGGGATGGGTTTGGAGTGGAGTGAAGCGGTTGTGTGTTGTAGAGACGCCATTGTTGGCGTGGGTAGAGGAAGAAGGGTGAGATAAGAAAGTAGTGTGGTTAGTGAAATGAAATGAAGGTGTTTTGTTTGTGTTGTGATTGGTGGGAAGAAGAGAATGAGATGCTGATAGGATTGAGTTGAGAGGAGCACGGTTGCCTCTTATCTCACGGATAAAATAATGGCAATCGAATATGTGGACGTATTTGGGAGTGAAGAGAGATAATTGGAAATTTGTTTTGGCAATTTTGTATCGATCCTCAATTTCATCCAACATCCAATAGGAATAGAGTATAGTGTAGATAATATATTTTATGATCAAATAGTCCTTAAATGATAAAATAACCAAAAAACTAAATGTATTAAAATTAACTCAATTAAAAATGATTTTTTTTGAATATTTTATGAATAAAAAATAAAGACCCAAAATGACCGAAAATGATAAAAAACAGACGAAAATTTATCCGAAAAAAATAAAATGAACACATTAAAATAATCTACATGTCACAAAGATTAAAGAAAAAAATATTCAAGAAGTCAAAAAATCAAAAATAAAATAATAATAAAAATATCAGACTAAACAGACGTTTAAGGTTAAAAACGAGACTTCGAACTGTACCGAAAAAATAAAGCGAGCATACCGTCATAATCTACGCGAAGCGCATATTCATAAAATGATCGGTAAAAGGTGAAAACTTGAAATATTTTCCCGCTACTTTCCCGCATAGTGTCGAATCGCTTTTAACAGTCTGTCTATAAAACCGAAATATTTTATTATCGACATATAAACAATTTGGAGCAGTGCAAGAAAATAGTAAACAGATAAAAATGAATGAAATGAAATGTCGGGTATTTTACAACTGAAAGACGATGCAAACTTTGATTTAAACTGACTTTTTCTGGTCAACTTAAATACGACTAATGATGCAAAATGTGATGAATGAAGGTATTTACTAATGATTGTGACCAAATAACAAAATATGATATGAAAGTGCGACTAAAACATATTAGGGGCAAACTTTAGGGTGCAACAGTTGTGCCTTGATGAATCAGTCTTCGAGAATCCACAATCAACCGTACTTCTGGCTTGGGAGGCTCAAAACCTTAATTGAGGCGCGACACCTGATGCTCTTGATTCAGACCTGTCTCTGCACATGAAACAAAAGAAAACATGAACATACACCTTTGTATGCGATTAGAAATTAGTGATACATAGGCTCAAAATGTTCAAAACACTTGACAATCTTCGCATAGTCAATGCTTGAAAGTGAGAGGTTAAAACTGAATGTATTTCGTGACCTTGACTTATCTTAAAAAATGCAAAAATAAAAATGGGATCTTAGGTCAAAAATTGGGGTACAACAAGAGCGATGCCCTTCGGGTTGAAGAATGCTGGTACAACATACCAGAGGGCTATGACAACCCTATTCCATGATCTGATGCACAAGGAAATTGAGGTAAATGTTGATGATATGATTTCTAAATCCCAGACTGAAGAAGGGCATGTAGAAGATTTGTTGAAGATGTTTCAGCGTTTGAGGAAGTATCATCTCCGCTTGAATCCAAATAAATGTACCTTCAGTGTTTGGTCCGGGAAATTGTTGGGTGTCATTGTTAGCCAGAGAGGGATTGAAGTTGACACTGATAAAGTCAAAGCAATTCAAGAAATTCCAGCGCCGAGAACTGAAAAGCAAGTCAGAAGGTTCCTCGGGCGTTTGAATTATATTTCCAGATTCATTTCCCACATGACTATAACATGTGAACCGATCTTTAAGTTGTTAAAGAAAGATCAAGGTTGTGTGTGGACAGATGACTGCCAAAGGGCATTTGAAAGTATTAAAGAATATCTACTTGAACCTCCTATCTTGCTCCTCCTGTTGAAGGAAGACCATTGATTATGTATATGACAGTGTTAGATAATTCCATGGGCTGTATTCTGGGACAACAAGATGAAACAGGGAAGAAAGAGTACGCCATTTATTATCTCAGTAAAAAGTTTACTGATTGTGAGTCGTGGTATTCCATGCTGGAAAAGACATGTTATGCTCTGGCTTGGGCGACAAAACGTTTGCGGTAGTATATGTTGAATCACACTACTTGGTTGATCTCCAAAATGGATCCAATCAAGTACATTTTTGAAAAGCCTGCTCTTACTGGGAGAATTTCCCGTTGGAAGATGTTGTTACCTTGAATAAGACATCGAATACCGCACTCAAAAAGCTATTAAAAGCAGCGTGTTGGCAGATTATCTTGCTCACCAACCAGTTGATGATTATCAGTCTGTGATGTATGATTTCCACGATGAGGATGTGATGTTTCTGAAAGTGAAATATTGTGATGAACCATTGCCCGAGGAAGGTCCTGATCCTGAATCTCGCTGGAGCATGACATTTGATGGAACTGTGAATGCTTATGGTAAAGGAATTGGTGTTGTGATTGTCACTCCACATGGATCACACATTCCTTTTACTGCAAGGTTGATATTTGATTGTACTAATAATATGGCATATTATGAGGCTTGCATCATGGGTCTCGAGGAAGCTATTGATCTCAGAATTAAAATTCTAGATGTGTATGGCGATTCAGATTTGGTAATAAATAAGATTAAAGGAGAGTGGGATACTCGTCACCCCGGCTTGATCCCTTAAAAATATTATGCTAGAAGATTGTTACCCTTCTTTAATAAAGTTGAATTCCATCACATCCCCAGAGACAAAAATCAAATGGCAGATGCTCTGGAAACTCTGGCTTCTATGTATCAAGTGAATACTTGGAATGATATACCTCAAATTATAGTTCGGCGACTGGATAGGCCAGCTCATGTGTTTACAAAAGAAGAGGTAACAGATGAGAAACCTTGGTATTATGATATCGAGCATTTTCTCCAGACTCAGGAATACCCGATTGGTGCTTCGAATAATATTAGAAAGACATTGAGAAGATTGGCTGGCAGCTTCTTCCTTAGTGAAAATATGTTGTACAAGAGAAATTATTACATGGTCTTGCTCAGATGTGTGGATAGACACGAAGCAGACATGTTGATGCAGGAGATTCATGAAGGTTAGTTTGGCATTCATGCCGAAGATGAATGGGGCTGTTGAAGCTTCTAATAAGAATATCAAGAAGATCATCCAGAAGATGGTTGTTACTTATAAAGATTAGCATGAAATGCTCCCTTTTTCTTTACATGGATATTAGACATCTCTCCGCACTTCCACAGGAGCAACCCCATTCTCCCTTGTGTATGGAATGGAAGCCGTACTCCCAATCGAGGTTGAAATTCCCTCTTTGCATGTGATAATGGAAACAAAGTTGTCAGAGGCTGAATGGGTCCAGAACATGTTTGACCAATTTAATTTGATTGAAGAGAAGAGAATGACGACTTTGTGTCATGGGCAATTATATTAGAAGAGAACGAAGAATGATTTTCATAAGAAGGTCAAACCTCGTGAATTCCGAGAAGGCGACCTCGTGCTCAGGAAGATCATGTCTTTTAACGCTGATTCTAGGGGCAATTACACTCCCATTTTGAAGGCCCATATGTTGTCAAGAAAGCCTTCTCTGGCGGTGCATTAATTCTTGAAACTATGGATGGCGAGGAGTTCCCACATCCTATGAATGCTGATGTAGTCAAGAAATACTTTTCCTAAAGAAATAAAAGAATAGCTCGCTAAGTTGAAAACCCGAAAGGGAGGCTTAGGCAAAAAGGAGCGTCTCGGTAGGCCGAAAACCCGAAAGGGCGGCCTAGGCAAAAATTAGAGATATAAACATAATAAAATTTCCCGCTAAGTTGAAAACCTGCAAGGGTAGCTTAGGAAAAAGTTAGGGACTTTCTTGGCAAGTAACTACATCAGACAAGACTTGATCATTGAAGCAACAATCTTCTTGGATCCTCACCATACTTCAACAGAAGTTGCTGCTCAGAATTTCAAAGTTGTTAGAGGGAATAATGGTCATTGTATCTCAATGTATCTTTTCCATTATACATTACCATTTTCCGAACTTTGTAATCATCCGTGGAGTCTCGCCATTCATAGACTATCATTCTACCAATAAAATTTGAGCCTTTACCCAATTCTTTGTATTTCTTATTTTTATTCAACTTACAAAGACTCCATTTATTATTGATAATAATTTTCAAAGCAAAACGATTAAATAACAAAATTATTTTCCAAAAAGAATTTACAACTAACTTTTACTTTAGATTTTGTGATTCAAGAGGAAAACAAAAGTGGTGATCCCAGGAATGGACAAACTCCAGTAATTTTGGGAAGTTTTGTTTCCCCCGAGAAGGTTTTCTCAGGTTGTTTTCGCTGGTATGTGTGTGATTTTTGTATATTGAATACGATACCAATTGGCGTAAGGTGTAGTATTGGGTTTGTGATCCCAGTGTCCCCAGACAAGTCTTGGTTCATTTTTTTGATTTTTGGGTTTGCATGGTCCGAGGCCTCTATCCCAGATTCCCCAGCGAAGTCTTCCTTCATATGAAGAAAGGTCTTTTTCTCTTGGTGTGCTGAGATGGAACTATTTGCAAAATGTCGCTCTTTCTGCAGTATTGGCATTATTGTTGGTATTTATTTCCCAGGCAACTAGACCAGGGCAGTATATTTTCTAAGAAGTGTTGAGACAGTTGTCAACCCTTTGGGTTTTCACCCACCAAGTGTTGCATTTGATTTAAAATCCCCATGAGTTTGACCTTTTTCTATAACGTTGACCTCTTGTTCCCTAGGAAGGCTATCCCAGGGTATCTTTTGTTGGAATAAGTTTGCATGATATGAAGACTCAATCCAAGATTCCCTAGTGAAGGCTTCACTATTTGATAGAAGTCTTTTCTCCCCGTGCATGCTGAGATTTAACTCATTTACGAAGCATCTCCTTTCGGCAGTACTTGCATTTTGTTTGATTTCCCGATAATCAGGTAAGGGCAATGTTTTATTTAAGAAGTGTTGAGGCATTTGTCAGTTTTATGGGTTTTCACCCGCCAAGTGCTGGGTTTGATTTAAAATTCCCATAAGATTGATTTCTTGCTGTAATGTTTGACTTCTTAAC